CCCGAATTTAGAATATCATGTAGCTGCTGGGGGAATCAGTAGAGCTTCAGGATGTACCTGCGATATGTCTGTGTAGGGACAAAACCAGATAATTTTATCTAGACTTTCTCATACCCAGATTTCTTAATTGTTAATAAAGTTAAAGTGACTCCTGTATGATTAGTGTCATGAATACCCTGAAAGCACTTCTGGAAGCTGCTAAGATTTAAGGATCATTTCCCTCCTAGGGAATGTTCAGGAACTGTTTGCACTCATCTGGATATTGCCGAAACCCCGCTGAGTTCTGAGGTCAGTTTGCTTAAAGATGCACATGGAAACAGAGATAGAATCCATGGTGAGGTCCAAGAGAACCAAATTAAGTCATCGATTAATGTCATCATGTCCAGCCACTCCTTCACCCTCTGTATCTACTTAAGAAAATAATTGTATTCAGCTTGTCACAAATTTTATTTTATATTTCCACCTAGTACCATTTCACATTCTGCTTAAGTACTTGGTCATCTATTACATGACTCATTAGTTTGAGTTCTCTGTAGAATTAAAGAAAGTTGCAGTAAAAATAATAAATGGAACCTAAGTTTCAACTACATCATCCATGCATGTTTTAAAAGCATCTTTCAAAGTCAATTCAAACTTATATACAATGCCAGGGATTAGCATGCCATCAGCCTCTTTGCTAAACTTTTTCCCTTGCCCCATTACACTGAAGTATTGATGAGCAAAATGGCAAATGTTTCTCTTTATTGGGATTCAACTCAAAGTGCATAAAACTGGATCAGATAAAGACTTATTCCCAGGAGAAGTACCCAGGGGCTATCTTATATGAAATTCTATTCACGGAGACTTTCATTTTTCCTTTAAATACAATTTGTAGTTACCAGGTGCAATCAAGAAATTTAATAAAGTTAAGGTTTCCTGCCTCCATCCCTAAAGAACAAGTTGGTGAAGTTCTTAACTGCAGAATCTTCCAAAGAGATGTAACAAGGTTTCCTGAAGATTTACCTGAATAATTACTTTTATAGGGTATGTAAATGCTGTGTGGTGCACTATGAGTGCAACACTAGGCCAGAAAAAAACCCAGAGAAATAGTTTTAATAGGAAAAGGAAACTAGACTAAAAGTCATTTATCTTGCAAATAAAAACATCTTATTCCTTTTGACTATGTATGTGTCATTAGGTTAAGAAGCATCTTCCAATATTTCCTACCCTCCCAGGGAAGCCAGAAGAGATCATGAATTTTAGCTGGAAGACAGGCAGTGAGATATAGTGGAGGCATCACAGGCTTCTTTTTTTCCATCATGGTTTTGAATTCCAGTGTTATCTGTAAACTGTGAACTTGGGCAAATTTCTTAACCTATCCGAGTCTCTGTTTCCTTATCTATAACACTGGGGGTAATGTGATTTACCCTGTACATCATTGTGAAAGACTAGAGATTGTAAAATACATGGCACAATCTAAGTTATAGTTATGGCTATTTCAATGCATTAGAGATGGGAGGGAGATCATCCCACACCCTCAAGCTTACAGTTGAGGCATCTCAGCACCCAGTGTTTAAATGACTAGTCCAGTGTAACAGAACTAGTCAACGGCATCATCAGGTCTATTTTAGTGTTCAGGGAAATGAAACCACAGCGAGGCCCAGTGACTTACACAGGGTCATCCAGAGAAACACTGGCATTACATGGATTGAACAAGAAAGTGTAGCTTCCCTAACCTGGCATTCGTCACAGTTTGCTGCCATTTCTCGGAAAAAAAAAAAAAAATTCCCATGGCTTGTGACCTTTTACCTTTTGCTGACTGGTTTTTAATCCCATTTCATAATTTATTCCGACGTTAGGACGAATGATCTCAAAAGCAAATTTCATTTCATCCTATTTTTAGAATAGATTCAGAAAATAAATGAACTGTCTTGCAGATTAACATTTATTTGACTTACCTTGCATAATTAAGGACATGTTGGAGAGCCTGCCTATAATTGCAATATGTTGCTTGTTAAAGTCTTAGAGCAAGCTCTCTTTCCTAACCTAGAAATTGTACTCCCTAGATGTACATTTCCATTTTCTACTGATCTACAGCTTTTCTTTATTAGCTTCTAGGTAGAGAGAAAAAATCAAACTTCTCCTTAAAGAAATCCATTAAACATTTGCTGTCTTCTATGGGGGAAGTAAGAAGGAGCTGAGGTGCATGGTAGTTATAAAGAAAAAAACAAACAAATTGGTCTTTCTTGAGAGATCAAGAACCTGCAGGAGAACCTCAAAGACATCATTAGCAATTAGCAATACTCTCCCCTCAATTTGCACACTGTGCTTTAATGACTTCTTGCATGATTTTTCCTTCTTCTACAGAAGTCTATGAAACTGCCCTGCAGCATTCCATATAATGAGAATCTCACTTCTGATTCACTGCCAGTGGTGAGTGCTGTCTATATTCAGCAAGGAGATAGGTGCCCCAGCTAGGCATCTAAGTGTCCCGACCAGCAATTTCAAGAGCAACTGATGTCTGGACACAGGTTCTGCCATCTGAGTGATTTTGCAGATCTCTAACAGGGTCTTCAGATACTGTTAACATGGCTGAAGAAGACATGGTGGATACTTAGTGTGAGCCACACAGTCTCCTCCTTTCAATATCCTCATTCACTCACTGGCCCAGAGCAGATGTTGTCAACATCAGCTTCAGTATGTTAGGTGAAAGCTGTCTCCGATGGATTAGACATTTAGCTCTCTGAAGCCTGAGCCAGATGTTCTTAGGGCCACTGCCCGCTTTGGGATGAATAAAGTGTACTGGATTATTATAAAGGGCACTCTTGGATAGAAAGACAAGTAAATCAAGCCAAAGAAAAATGTACTACTAGCTACAAGAAGAAGAAAAACTTAGTTTAATATTATCTTTAATAGATATATAAATTTTGGCACTCTCATTACTGATGCTTTAAGAGTTCATGTAAATCTTGTTCATCAGGACTCTATTATTGCTGCTTTCCAAGCAAAGAAAAAAAAAAAACCCTGCAGTGAACCAATTATTTGTTCTATTTGAAAAAGCTGAGATATTCATCCTTTATGTGGCAGGTTGAATGTGGTAGGTGAGATGAGTGGTTTTTATTCAAGCGGCAACTCAGGAGGATGTCAATTTCAGGCACAATACAAGCTTGATTCGTCCCTGTTTCTTATGCAGAAATCCTTATAATATCTGCATGAGTTTTAAATCTGTGTAAAAGGTGGGACCCAGCCTGATATATTTCCTTGAAAGATGAGCTGATTATATGTTGCACCTGAGTTATGCATTCACTCATCAAGTATTTATTGTGGACCTACTATGTGTAAGGAATGAGAGCTGGCACAAGAGAAGAAAGAAATATTTTAAAAACACTTTACCATGATATTTGGGTGGGGGGCTTATATTCCCTTTGAGAAAAAAAGGCCACATTCTTAAAGCACAACTGAAATTCCTTTTAGGAATATTTGGTATAGATAAGAGCTACCTAACTGATCAATTACACGACGAGCACATATGTGGATCCCACACTGTATAAGACATTGCTGAGGAAGTGGGGAAGATGCAAAAAAAAAAAAAAATTAGATGTAGTTTCTCAGCTCTAGTTTACCTCGGTAGTAAAAAACTTCCTCTTCGAGAAAGAACTAGAAAGTAAAAGAAGGCAAAATATAATCAAGTGGTAATTGGGTAGTGTGGACACTGTTAGAAAAATTCAGATTTAATGGACTAGGGTTAGCCAGAGAGGCTTTATGAAAGACATCGGACTTGAATATGGCCTTGAAAAAAAGGGAAGGCTTTAAACTCTGATTATAGTTGGAATTTAATCCCCATATGGCAAATGTCAAATGGCTAAAGAGTAACCTCTTAAAATTTGAAATAATAAGCGACCATCTAACAAATGAAACAAATTGACCTCACTATATTTTTTGCCATGGAAAGATGTTCATAATATATTAAGTGTGTGAAAAGAAGATTATAGAACAGCATTCTATACAATGAATCCATTACTAGAAAAAAAATATGCATTTTCTATGATATGCCTAGAAAAAAGTCTAGAAGGATATATGCGTGCGCGCGCGCACACACACACACACACCATTGTGGATAAGGAACAGAGAATAATGATTAAATAATTAAGGAGATTGGGTGGATGATATAGGGTAACAGATTTAAAGGTGACTATCCTTCAGCTTAGTGGCCTAAGATGGAAATATGATCCAAGTCTATAAAATCATGATGCTGATTGAGAGAACGCAGATTTATTCACAAGTCTCAGGCAACAGAATTGAGGATTGGCTTTGGAAGACTGAGAAGTAAATTTAGTACAAACAAAAGTAAGGCTGAACTCCCACAGAAGGCAAAAAAAAAAAAAAAACAAAAAAAAAAAAAAAAAAAAAAACCAAAAAAAAAAAAAGAAAGAAAGAAAGAAAAAAGAAAAGAGAAAAGAAAAGAGAAATGAAAAAAACTGGAATTTGCTACCCTAGGGAGGACATAAAGTGAAAGTACAAATAGCTTCAAGAATGATTTAGATAAAGTAATGGAAGAAAGGTTCGTTAATTCTTAGTTAAGCAAGAGCCAGGAATGTCCAGACTCTGTGAGATATTCAAGGTATTTCACAGGGGTAGAAAGAAGGTGAGCACAGACCTGATCCCAACCAGGACAGGCCAGGAGTTAACCCTTCAGTTTTTGGACTGCTGGGAATTTCCAGGAAGTTGTCTCTGGGGAGAGGGTGGGTGTACAGGAGGCACTCAGAGGGCTCTGGGAAATAATTATTTATCAACCAGAAAAGAAGCATTTCAACATTTTAGTAACACTAATGACAATACGAATGCTTATTAGCTAAAAATTAGTCCTGACCATGCCTGTCTTCTGGGATGGACTTCAGAGACCATGTGTGCCAGAGGCAATATTGAGATAGATGGACTATAGTATGGCAACAGTCTTAGGATTTTGTGAGATCAAATGAAATTGTTAGATGAACAAAAGATTTTTTTTTTTTTTTTTTTACCTCGAGGGCTGTTCAGTGAAGCTTCCGATGCTCTCCCGCCATCTCCACAGTGACTCTGGTCAAAGGGAAGGCACTGATCACCTGTCCCCGCCACCACTTCAAAATTCTTGGAAAGATCTTTTGTTTCCACAAGAGATTTTAACTTGTAGACTTTTCGAGTGTTGGTGTCTGATAGATAAAGTGATTCAGACACAGGGTCCATAGCCAGGTAGTATTTGTGGGCAGGACTTGTGCTAAGGAAGAGAAAAGCAAAGTTATTCAAAGTAGTTTGTTCACTATACATCCCCTGGGGTCTGCCTTTTGTCACAGATGGAAAATTCTCTTAGGAGATGGCAAAAAAAAAGACCCGAAAGGGATCTTTCTCATGTACTGAGGGGATGGATGCTACTTTGTTTTTCTAGTAATGCGTCTGAGTATTTAACACCTCAGTGTGTACTGCCAACCTGTAATGAAGCTGCTATTTCAATACCATCCATATGGGGGGCAGAGAAAGAAGCAGAAGAGAGAAAATCCCAGGAAATGATTTTTGCCATCAATGTCTTTCATACCCAGTTCTCCAATTACCTACTAGATGACTGCCCGGATGGCTCACAGTCACCTCAAACTCAACAAATCCCAAACAGAAGTTCTTGTCTTCCTGCCTTCCCCATCCTTCAGAATCTTACTTCTTCTCCAGGGTTCCTGCCTCCCTGGGGGCCCCGCCAGCCTCCAGGCTCCTGTTGTAAACTGAAAGGCAGGTACAAAGATGGAGGAGTCTGGTGTGTGGGGGGTGGGGGCTGTGCTAGAGATAACATTCCCAAACTTTTCCATTCCGAGCTTCCATTTTTTAGCTGACCACCACACTTTTCTAATCCATTTTGTCTTATTTCAGGGCATAACAGAACTGATTATATATGACCTTTTTTTTTTTCAGTTATAATCACAATCAGCCATACCTTTTAAAGGTGACACTAAAGTTACCTTGATCAGATTTTGGTATTCCTGAAACTCTTCAATTACATATTCGCATGGAATCTCTTGTGACATTTTTATCTGCATACATGGCTGAGCTCATTAATTAATTTTGATTCTTCCTAATCCCATTTTTTTATGGCTGTAGCAACATTGGTTTGAGGGATATTTTCCTTGATCCTAACGTTTGTTGGACCCCATCTTTAAGAACGTTAAAAGCTTGTTAACATTCCTTGGGGTGGTATGCAAGCCTTTCTGCACTTAGTAAATCCTCACATGCCTTTTAAGGCTTTACTCAGGCATCATTTCCTGAAGAAAGCCTTCCCTAAATCTCCAGTCTGGGTTATCTGCATTGCACTTACCTCTATTCTGGAGATTACATATCATATTAATTTTTGTATCTGTATCCCCCAATAAACCATGTGAGCTTGGAGGAAAGCAACCTGTCTTATCTCTGATGTGCTCACAGCCCAGAACTCTGCCCCACACCCAGCTGTCTAAGCCAGGTGCCATTCTTTACTCCTCCTGTCATTCTCCACATCCAGTAAAACATCCTGCGTTTAAAAATTCTACCTCCTAAACTCTTCTCCAATCTGCCCACTTCTCTTTATCTCCACGGTCATTACTCTAAGCCTCTCGTATCTTCTCTGAACTCTTTGCTTAGTACCATTTCTGTATGATGTGGTTGTTCATTAATTAAGAAGTATTTACTAAGTACACTAATGTGCCTTGGAACTGTGCTATCGTCTGGAGACCTACTTGTGTGCATGATACAGTCCCTTTCATTGTGAAATTCATGGTCCAAGGGGGGAGTCAGATCGGTAAACCGGGAATGACTGTCAAGTGCGGCAACAGAAGTAAAGGGGGAAAGACGTGAGCAGAGAAAAGGTACGTGTGACCTAGCAGCACCTATCACATTCTATTAGCATTATTTTTATAGATAAACTGAAGTCCATACTTGATTCAGATTTCCTTAGTTTTTATCTAATGCCTTTTGGTGTGTTCCAGTATTCCATCTAGGATACCAAATCATATATAGTCATCATGTCTCCTTAGGCTCCTCTGGGCTGTGACAGTTTCTCAGACTTTCCTTGTTTCTGATAACCTTAACAGTTTTAAGGAGTATTGGCCAGGTATGTTGTAGGATGTCCTCTACTGGAATGTGTCTAATGTTTTTCTCCTGGTTAGACAGGGGTTATGGGTTTGGGGGATGAAGACCATAGGGGTAAAGTGCCATTCGCATGACTTGTGACTGTTGATGTTGACCTTGATCACCTGGCTGAGGTAGTGTAAAATTATTCTTTCTCTTCCACTTTCCATACTGTGCTCTTTGGAAGGAAGTCACTCTGTGAAGGCAACACTTGAGGGGTAGGGAGTTATACTCCACCTCCTTGAAGGTGAAGTGTCTACATAAATGATTTGAAATTCTTCTGCACGAGAGCTTGATCTCTTCTCCTCTATTATGGATTCAACCGTTAATTTATATCAGTAGGGACACATGGATATTTGTTTCATACCGTGCATGAAAACTCCATGCTACTTTATTTTGTTGCTCAAATTGTTATGGCATTGGCCATTGTGAACTCTTCCTGTTGTCTCATGAGACCCTTTGACATATGTCCGTCAGTTGGAGGAGTGTTTGTTTCTTGTGCTGTTTTAGCCTTTCTTTACCTTTTGGCACTACAAGATGCTCCAGGCTCATCTTTTATAGTCCCTTCCCCAGCACTGGAATCAATCATTTTGCTAAAGACCCTGGGTTCTTTCTATCAGAGAATGGTACTGGAAACCAAGATGTGAGTGCTGGGTGTAAGCACTATTTTTTTCACATCTCTTTTTCCAACTACACTGTAAGCTCTTTACAGGCAGGAACCATATTCATCCCTCTGTCTTCCGTGCCAACAGAGTGTCTGACAGGATTGATGTTCAGTTACTGCTGAACTAAAGTGTAGGACATGAAACTAACTAAAACATGCAAGTGTTCAGGTCTTGGCCACTTAGCCCAGCAAAACGGCAGGGAAAGGGCCATCAGAGTAATTAAGTTGCCCTTAAGGACTGGTACATTTCTGATTGTATTCATAATTATATTTGCCCTGTAAGCATATTTATGTATGTTAATGATGGTAAAGGCTAGCAAATACTGATTTGAGACCCAGTTTATAGTTTGAATTGGAAAAAAATCAGATCCATTAGGAATACTTGATTTTTTTCTACTTACCTTCACTTCATCAAATAAGAGAATTCAGTAGATTCCAGGGACATCTTCCACCCTGGAACCACCATGACAGCTGCTGTAAATAAACTGTAAAGGGCCCCAACAGACTCCAGAATTGGTTTGGCAGTCATATCAGACAAGGCATCTCTGTAGCAAAGATTGCTTAAATAGGGGTTTGAGTAAAAGTTTTTACATATTTAGTTGAATGTTTGCCTTCAGAATAAAATTTCCTCAGTGCCCTTAGATCTTCCTAGGATAAAAAGGGGGTCGTAACCCTTCCTGAAACAGCCTTCAATATTTTGGTAGCCAGTTTGTGGAAGTTTCAACTGAGCCAGATTAATCATGTTTTGTTTAGGAAAAGTCCATAGGCTATTTTTCCAAGAGAAATGTTATTCGCATAAAAGCACTTTGGAATGCATTACATTCATTTATTATTGAATATCCCCAATGTGCCTGTGAGGGAAGTTAAAATTATCATTCTCCTCCAATCTCAGCTGGGGAAACCCAGACCCAGAGAGGGCTTGCTCAGGGTCACTAACAAGCCTATGCTCTGACCAAGACTAGATTAGATCACATGTGACTGTGTGTACAAAGTGCCTTCAGAATACTTTAGTTCTGAAGGTGGTAAAAAAAAAAAAAAAATCTGTGCTCCTGTCTTCCTCTAACTGAGCAACATATCCTGTTTTGCTCAGCTAGGCTGTTCTAAAATTTTGTGCACTGGCCTTTAGAAAATGGAATAGCCCAACACACAAAATTCAAATCTGATTAATGTTATTTTCTTGACAGGCAACAGTCAGGGAGGTCTCCTATATAGATATGTAATTTCTTGCCATTTCATGCCATTTCCCAAGTGCACTTCAGCTCTTTTTAGATTGGTTTCTTTCCACTTTCTAAAAACATGCCATACCTGAGAAAGAAAACCACTGGACTACATTCCAATTTGTTCTAATCCCTTGTGTCTACGTGCATATTGCAATTTGAGATACGTGGAGATTTCTTTTATGACTTCAGCGTTAGACTTATTGTCACCTTCTGGTTAGTGTTACATTCGAGCAATGCCCTTCAACTTGGCAAAGATCACTTCATTCATGCTAGTTAAAATCGCAGATTGTTAAATGGGCAATTAATGCTTATAATTAATACTGTGCAACGCTTTACTAGTAAGCAATTTGACAACCAACTTAATTTGCTTAAAGAATCAGTTATGCCAAAGTAGCAAGGCTATCTTGTGCACTGGCATTTAGGAAGTGGCATCTCCCAAACGAAACCCAAATTAAAAACCCTATCAGTGCCATTTTGATGACAATTGGCATTCGGAAGTGAACAAATTCAATTTTCTCCTTTGCAATTTCAGGTAATTTAGAACAGTTTTGACAAGTGTAATGCATAAACAAATTGAAGAGAAATATTCATTATGATTAATTTCAGAGCTACGTGCCATTGTTGGTAAATGGTTGGTTTAAAGTTTTTCTATTATTTCTTTTTGGTGGGAAGAAATAGAAATCATGAGGTCACATAAAAGGAGAAAAGAAAAATCTTATTCAAGAAGGTCATCATGGTCACTGTCTCTTAATACACTTGTCAACTATATTTCTGGATCTGGGAAGATTGCTGTATTACCTACCTCTCTTTCTACCTGCAACTTGAAAACATTGAATCTGTTTGAACTTACAGACTCATTTGTGATATCACCTAAGGAAAACATAATGAGACTTAAGGCTTGCTTCCCCATGAAGTACTGAACTGCCAGTTCTCACTTATCTTGTTTTCTTTTCGATAGGGTCTGATCCTCCAGCAAATTCCCACTTAACGGAGCTCTCTTCTTTTGTAAGACTCTTACCTGAATCATAACTTCTAAATTCACTTTCACATCATTCCTTTAACCTCACTTGAAAAGTAAAATCTCCCTGTTAGCACATTATTACGAGGTGGCCTCTTAGGCAAGAAGGGGCATTAGGTAGCTGCCCACGTGATTTACTCACCTATGTCTGGTATCTCTGTTTCTAGGGTGCACAAGGTTATCCATGAGTGGCAAGTAAAAACAAATAGAGAGTCGTCAGTATCATTCAACAAGCCAAATCTAAGCAGACACACCTATTCCTAACCCAGTTTGTGGCTATTAGAGACTCCATAGGGATCATTTCATCAGATGTGCAAGGCAAAGCCTTCCTGGCTTCTCCTCTTAAGATGGTGTCAAGGCGAAGGAAGAGCCTGCTTGGTGGGTGGGCAAAGCTCTAAGGCAGTTTTTTCTCCCTGGACCATCTTCACCAGAATCACTTGGGTTCTTGCTACATGTGCAGTTTCCTGGGCTTCTCCCCACTTGTACTGAATTAGAACCTCGTGGTGGACATGGGGCCTGGGCATTTCATTTTTAACAGACTCAGCTGGTGATTCTGATGCAGGGAAAGGTTTAAGAACCACTGGGCTAGCCTTTGAAGAAGCAGCCACTGCAAAGGGTCAGACCACTGCAGCCTCTGTTCTGAAAGCTACTTTGCCAAAATGGCAAATCAAGCCTTGTGTGCAATGGGCTTCCCAGATCTAGCCCAAAGCCACTTATATGATCTCAGAGATAAGACAGGGACATCTCTTGTGTACGTTAGCACATTACTTAGCAATATTAAAAGACCTGACAAATTAAAAGCGGAAAAGTTTTCTCTTAGACCGTGGCAGAACTGCTGCATCAAAATAGCATCACTAAAACATCATGTACATCAGCTACTAGGGCCTCGTGTCTTCCAATTATCTATACTCCAGCAGGGCAAGCGGGGTAGGCAAAACAGATCTGTCAGGTCAGAAGAAGCAAAACACTTTGGGAGACCCTTACTGGTAAGCCCCTTGGCACATGGTGCTGCCTAGGGTATTTCACTCTGGGACCTGGGATGAGCCTTCTCGCACAGGGGACGCGGTCTGTGTACAGGCCTGACTTTGGGTCACATCTGCCCAGAATTAAAAGGCTATAATCATCTGTGAAACATGGTCATTTTAATTTTAAAATCCTTTTAAACCTGGACCTTCATGTCATCTTAAAAAACATGAAGGTAACACATCTTTTTATCTAAACTAGAAAATGTTCTTATTCTTTGCAATGTCAGGAAAGTGGGGAAGATACAAAATGATTTCATCTGAAGCTATCTGCTCCTACTGATTCAACTCTTTTCAAAGAAAATCTTTCTGGGAATTTCACTAGTTGGGCCACAGGTCAGGATGCACTGACTTTTCTGTTTCCCTGGCCCACCTCAAAAGGGTAGGTATCCTGTGGGTTGACACAAAAGGTCAACAGGGAAGGATGGAGCTCTGATTAGAAACCCGGCCTCGGGCATTTGGACCTCTTTGAGTTTCTTTGTCTCCAGACACTTGCTTGTTTCTGTGGCCTCTAAACGAGCAGGTGAGTGTGCTCGAGGCCGGCTCTAATCACTTCCTGAAGGAAGTCGAGTTGTGAAAGTACTAGAAGGACCTCATTAAAACATGGCTTCATTGACAACAGATTCTCATGGTACAGAACCACTTGTGTGGCTACAAAGCGTTTTGCAATGGTGATGGCAAGGGGTGGGGAGGAGAGTGGTTTGACTTTCTTGCAGCTGCTTCTGATCCTGCCAATAATGTCACTGTGAACGTGGAAAGATGTCGTGTATTATGAAGAGCAGCGTCTCTCATTAACATCCTAGAAGGAGGAAGTGAAAATGATGGAATTTATTTCCAGTGTGTGACCTTGTTCTGTCTCGGGATTACTTTTAGTTAAGGATTTAGGATGGAGCTCCCACCAAAGTCAGTTTGCTGTGTAGCTAGCAACCGATGGCACGCTGAGGTGCCAGTGTGAGCTCTTCGCAAGTGCCCGGGCCCATCAGTGGGCACTGCCGCCTGGCAACTGACTGCCTTGAAGCTTGCCACGAGTTAGGAGGAGGAGAAAGGCGTAGAACTGCCATATCTTTTTGGACCAAGAAATGCTCCCGAGGGTAGGGTCTGTAACTTGATCTTGGATTTTCTCAGGACCGAGATGATTAAAAGGGCCATCTCTTCTTTTTTAATTAAAAAAAAGTTATTGAGATATAATTCACATACCATAAAATTCACCCTTCTAAAAAGTACAATTCAGCAGTTTCTAGTAAACTCAGAGAGTTGTGCCACCATTGCCATCATCCATTCCCAGAACGTTTTCATCACCTCAGGGAGAAAGCCCGTACCCGTTAGCAGTCGATCCCTATTCCCGCCCTGCCCCAGGCCCAGGCTTTCTGTCTAATTTGCTTTCCATCTCTGTGGACTTGCCTATTCTGGGTGGTTCACATAAATGGACCCAGAGCATGTGCCTTTTTGTGTCTGGCTTCTTTCACTTTAGCATAACGTTCGACCTCTTCTTTTTGTACATTAGCGAGGTGGGAGATGGAGAAAGAGAGACTATGCCAACTTGGGAGTTCCTGTCTACTGACCTGGCATCATGGGTTTGCCTGGCCTGCTTTGTGGTGGTTGTAGCACTTTCCTTGTTTTTCATGCTGTTCTCAGCTTCTTCCCTTACACTTAGCCAGAAATATTTGATGTCGAAAAGTGGACTTCCCTCCCTGCTCATGTTTCTGTGGTATCCTTCCTTTGAAGACTGAGTTCCCACTCCTGCCGTTTACTGACTTCTTAGAGCTTCCAACTCCAGCAACCCTCACCTCCCTCGCGCTCTGGCTCTGTCCCTTGCCCTTATCACATCTTACCTGTCGTGTGTTTTAGGGCCCCACTTTCAGCTAGCAGCTCCTTGGAAACCAATCCGACCAATGAATCCATGCCCAAGGGCTAATGATGATTTTCGCTTGGTCATTCTAACAGAGGTTCTTGGGTCGGGGACTCTTAGAGATGCAGTGCCTCACCTCAAAGGACCACATTTCTTAGAGAGGGAATTTGGGCACCATGGAAGGGCAGCGAAGATGTTGCTGGGTACAGTGGAGGGAGCCTACCGCTAATACACAAGCTCACCCTGGAGAGGTAACCACCTATTTCATCCACATGGAGTGTCTCTCTATTTGTTGCTCCAGTGCTTCTGCCAAAGGGATGGGTCTTAGTCATTTCTCAGATATTTTCAGAGCTCTCAAAGACCAGGTTCCATTTGTTCCTTCAGCAGAGTGCTCTACAAGTTCTGCTGCCCCTCTGCACGCTACCCGCCCCTAAATGGGTGCTATTCCAGTTCTACTCAATCCCTAGTCAGTGACAGGAGTCAAGTTCAGGACAATGGAGGAAATACTAACCAGTCACTGTAAAATAAACAGTAAAATCTCAAGAGAAATTTTCATGTCACAATGACACTTGTTGAGTCCAAATTGTCAAGGTACCAGGAAGCATTTGTCAGGCTCTTATTTTCTTCTTTCTTTCATTTTAAGGGAAGGACAAAATAAAGATCTGGAGAATATCAGCATCTTGAACAATAACAGCATGAGGTTTTTATAAAGAATAAATCATACCCAGTCATGCTTAACAGGTTTTCTAATAGAGTTGTGAAATTAGAAGATGAGAGGGGGAGCAAGGGGATATTCCTTTTTGAATTCTTGCAAAGCACTTGATATGGTGCCTCCTAGTTTTACTCATGTAATTATCTGTTAGTTTTAGAAAACTGAAAAGTAGCCCTGAGGCCATAATCCAAGGAAAAAGAAAAGAAGTCACAGTCGGTGAGAAACAGCTGAAGGACTCGAGGATGTTTAGACTGAAGAGAAAGCTCAGAAAGCTGGGATAGCTGTCTTCACACACGTGGAAGCATGTCAGGGAAGAGAGGGAAGAGCTTCCGTGCTGTCTCCAATGCTAGCATTTGCTGCTACTGACTGGATGTTTGATGAAGGTAGATTTCAGTTCGGTATAAGAAAGCATTTTCTAAAAGAGCTCTCCAAAGGTGCAATGGGCTGTCTACGAGGGGTTGTTTAAGGTTCCTGTTACTGAAAGGATCAAACAGAGTAGACACGATCAAATGTCATGCATGCATTGGGTGCCACGTTGCACCATATACTTCCATGGACTTTTCTGACACTAAGCTCACAGATCTGTGATGTCACTTTTGTGTTACCGAATGCAAGACGTGTACGTGTATGCAGTTTTTACCTGAGAAGCGAAGCCACAGAAATAACTAGACCTAAACTATTTCACATGGAAATGAATCTAACTTTAAAAAAATCTTCAGAGAATGTATTTTTGAGACTCTCTTAGATTTAATTACTTACATAATGATCTTATAATTTTCCCTTCTTTATCATCTTACCTCAATTTCCCACTGGAAGGGAACACTAAGATGTGTACGTACGGATGAAATCTGCAGTAAACAGGCAAAGGAGTATTATATACTTCAATAACAAGAAATAATATCGTTGCTCTTGCCATATTGCTAATGATAATGACACAACTGACTTTTCCTTACCCTCCCCATTCAGCCAATGGGGGGGGGGGCAGCTACAGAAAATAAATGATTGGCAACCAATGAAAATGAAATTATTTCTGAAGTCAGATGAAGGAAATTCGATTAGGGAGAGTTAGGATCAGCAGAGCTGAGGAAGGAAAAATCTATAGTCTTCCAATCTTTGCAACGTCAAGGGGCACCTGGAATTGTTCAAAGTGGCCCACTATGAGACAAGAGGATGGAAGAGAAGGGAATCTAGAAGGGCATCCAGGAGGAGCAAGCAAAATGTCATCAAACTTTGGGCTGAGAACTGCACATCTGTAGATCTCAAAATAAGTTAAACTGTATAAGACATGTAAGAGGATGCTCAAATAATAACTTGAAGTCAACTTTACAGGTAGAGAAGCAGAGAGCAGAGTGGTTAAGTTATATAATGAATAACCTTGACAGATGGTGAAGATCTAAAATGTTCTCTATCCCTTTCTGTAATAACCTATTGACAACATTGCTCTTCCATTCACAGCTTTAAATGCAACCAATAACATAAAGACTATATTAGTCTGTGTTTCCAAGGAAACAGATAACTTAACCAAGTAAAATGACTAATATGCACTGGGGGGTGGTGGTGGTAGCAGCAATTAAATTAACTGATTTTAACAACAACAAAAAAACTGGTACAAAACGAAGTTTCTATCTATGTACAATAGAATTCATTGACCATTATGGTTCTTAATGTAGCAAAGGCTTATTATATCAACTTATTTCTCCCCAGGAAGTTTAAATCTGGAAGTTATAAAGCAAATATACAAATTCACCAATTATACATCAAAGATGCAATGTACACAGTATAGGCTACTGATCATGACAGATACTTTTTTATATTTTAATTTTATTTATTTACTTATTTATTTCTAACGTTACTTTAGAGAGAGAGACAGAGTGCAAGCAGGGGAGGAGCAGAGAGAGAGAGGGAGACCCAGAATCTGAAGCAGGCTCCAGGCCCTTAGCTGTCAGCACAGAGCCCGATGCGAGACTCGAACTGTGAGATCGTGACCTGAGCCAAAGTCGGATGTTTAACTGACTGAGCCACCCAGGTGCCCCTTGGCAGACTTTTTTTTTTTTTTTTAAAGGTGAATCTAATAAGAACTATATTCGTTTTTGAGTAAACATGATGGATAATGTTTGCTGACATAAACTGGTTTGATGGTTTTGACTACAGTAAAATAAGGAGTTACCTGTCAATTAGGTCAAATGCTCATCTAAATTCAATCTGTTTATTTCTCTGATGGCCAATCACGGGAGTGTTAGAGAAGGGAAAACTATGTTTTTTTTTCCCTTGAATCAAATGCAAGGGAGAACTACTTTCTCTTTGAACCTAAACCTGGGAATCTTAACTGTGAGTCTATGAAGGGGGTAGGTTGCTGGCGGGTGGGGATATCCAGGGAGACAGGGAAAATATATGACCCCTGAAATCGCATGTACAATTTTGTGTGAATGTGTCTTTTTCTGGGGAGAAGGCCCACAGCCCTCAATAAATTCTGAAAGGGGCCTGAGAATTAAAAAAAAAAAAAAAGTTAGAAGAATTGCTGTAAAGGATGTGAGCTCGGAAGAGCTAGCTAGAGAGACTCAGGCTAAGTGAGAGAGCCTGGGTGTGTGAGCTCACGGTGTGTGCACGCCTATGTGTTTGAAGAGCTTTGACAATGTGAGAGAACAGTACTGTGGAGTCAGAATGAATGGAGGGATTGGACAATACTTCCCACTGCCAGAAACGAATTGTTCTTTATACTGAGAATATTGCTTTGCAGTTAGGGTCCAAGTTTTTCTATTTTATCCTTCAAATGACTTTGTGTTGAAGGTCATAAAGTACTTTGGACTAAAATGCAAATTTGTTAACTGTCAGGGATTCTTGAGCAAAGGAGAATCTCATCGATGAAAATTGCTGCACCTTAGTTAGGTACATTTGCATTGAAATCACAAAGGAAAATACTCAACTTAGCTGGGTGTTCTTAATAGTAGTATTATTAGTATTAGTATTTGTTTTTATAGCTAATCTTATGGTTTTTCCTTGGAGGAGTTACCTACATAGGGCTAGCCATGAGGCTTTATAAAGCCTAGAGGCTTTATAGGGTTAGCTATATAGATAGGTTCCATAAGACAAAGTCTCTGTCTACCTGACAGCTAATATCTGCATGACTAGAAACATTCAGATGGTGAATGAATTGTTCAGTGCTCCGTCAATGTTTGGCATCATGTAGACAGAACATCCCTAGGATTTTGAATATAATGTTGAATGTTACATAAATCGTTTCTAAATCCAGGAATATGAACATCTTGGCCTTCCTTGTTGACTTTCCAGTAAGTAGGTGCCCCAAGAGATATACTGCGGGAAATGATAAGTCACCATGAAGTGTGACATCCTAAGGTACATAAACATTTGATTAGAGCAGGGTGCTGTGAATTAGTACCTCTCTAGTCTCTCTAGATGTGCTTTATCTTTATAAAAATCTTAACTTTACAGTCTATTTTTTATCAGTCAAGGGATTTAACAGCTTTCTTATCCATGACAATGCTTGCAATTATAATTAAGAAATGTTTTAAAACTAGAATGAATTAATATGAAAAACGGATGGAGGCTTGGGACTGGAAGATGTCCACAGGTAGGTGTGAAGGACTAACTCAGTCTGAGAAAAAGCAGGTAGATTCCAGAGCAAGCATGAGAATCTGGAAAATTTCAAGGAATGTCCCCATACATTCAAATTTCTATGCTTGTGTGAATATAGTGTTAAATGGAAATGACCCAAGACTTTTCATATGTTTTGACTGGCCTCGATGGTACTCTGTACATACAAGTTGTTCCATTAATGTCTCTATTCTCCCAGGTCACTATTTTTGGTCACTATCTTTCAGGTCGATGAGGGGATGGCTGAAGCAACAACTGTTTTATGGACTAGTTTATAGGATGACAAGAAAATCTTCTGGAATAGAGGGAAACTTTCGGCCTAAAGTTCCAAAGGCATGTGTCAGGGATAAAGCTGTCATAACCAATTGGAGGGAAGGCTCTATCAATTTACCCAGGAGGGAGGAAACAGGTCTATCCTCACTGGAATGGGAGGGGATGCTTTCCTTTTCTAGGACTCCATAGGGTATATATTTGTATCTTGTAGCCTCAGAAAGGGAGAAATCAGCTGATTAAGCCATAGTCTATTTAGTTGTGATCTTTGCGTAACTTCAGAACATGGAATACCAGAAGGTATGAATTCCTTTCAAAGGGTGTCAAAATACTTTGTACTCTCCAGAAAATTCCTAGAACAGAGTGAGAAAGTCTAACGATGGATGCTTTAATCTTTTTTGCCCCAAAGGAATAGAGCTTTTAAGCATTAAAAAAAAAAAAAAAAAACAACCTAGTTCTTCCTTCCTTATCAGGGCATACAAACACAGACTTCCATTTTCTTTTTTATGAAGTGACCACTTCAAAAAATTGAACCTGGAGAACTTAGAAAATTGAGCCTTTTGGTTCTGGCATTACCTCTACCTGTGGAATAGATACTTTTGATCAGTCTTCGTTTTGACCAGCAGGGGCTGAGTGGCTTACCTCAGCACTTGGAAGTACTGAGATCCATGTCGGTGATGGCAGTGCCCACAGGGAAGGCCACACATACAGGGATGTCAACACTTCCTGGTTCTCCAAAGCAGTGCTCAAAAGTCCTTTAAGTAGGAGGTGTGGGCCTGTTGACCTATGTCTTTTGTCCCTATTCCTGCATCTGAGGTCAGGGCTACAATATGGGCGACTGCATTTTCTGCTCTTCCTTGCAATGCCTTTCTCTTCGTGTTATCGCATTCTTGCTTCTTCCTTATCCGCTAAACCAACAGAGATTAGAGGAGACTTACCTTAATTCCAAAATACTAACGGAGTTTCCTGAGGGAAATATTCGTCTTATGAAATTAAAGTCGCCAACATACACACTCCCATCAGGGCCAGAAGCTAAGGCAACAGGAGCAAAGAGCTTGTTGTTGTGAGCTGGGCCATTGCAGTTGGTGCAGGCTACGCTCCGCTGGTGTCCGTTACCCATGATGGTTGATATGACTGGGGGCTGCTGGGAAATGAACATATTTTCTCCATTCCCTTTATGTATGATTCCTAGATCCAAGAAAAAAAAGGAGAATAAAAATTACCTCACAATATTCTCAGCAACATTTTAACTTTTCTCTTGTTGTGCAAAGCACCATGACTCTTTGGCCTGGCAGAAAAAATCTTGAGAGTGAAGCACACTGTCCGAGGTTTTGTTTAACTGCATGGCCACAACAAACAGGAGCATGACACTTTGCCTCAGCTTGTCTATCTGTGATATGGGTTAATACACCCTTTAGTACTGATCCTAAATGCCTCAATGAAACCCGTGATAAATAACTTTTAATGATCTCCTGTTCATTTTGGGCTCTGTGAATCATCTGTGGCTAATTTTTCATCTCTGGATGACTATCTCCTGATGCTTGGCACACACTTGTCTGACTTCAAATTACCCTCACTATGCAACTGACTGGTTCCTGAAAAGGAAATATCAGTCAATTTTAATATTAACCTTAGCAAAACACCATCAGGAAGGCAATTGACTTCTGTGAAAAAAAATCATACTGTTAGAATGCACTTCAAAGATATAAGAAAGGGACTTGAATTTTCCACTCTTTTGGACCATATCTCACTATCATCAGTGCAGGAAATAGAGATACTGACTTATGAAAATGCTGGAAAATACTGTGCATTCTCTTTGGGCAATCTCTTCCAATCTCACGGCTTTAACTCGTATCTCTATACGCCAAAATTTTCTCCTGTCCAGAGTTGTCACCTGCCATGCAATTTCCTGCTCGATCTCCTCACCCAGATGCCCAGAGGCACCTGAAACTCAACAAGTGTAAAATGGAACTCACTGTCTTCCTCTCCCCCTGCTAAAGCCTGCTTTTCCTCCTGAGTTCCCTACTCATCTTATGAGTGGTATCACAGTGCGCGTATTTACCCAAGTTGGAAGTGTGGCCATGACCGGGCCTCTTATTTTCCTCATTCTCTAAACCTAACTCGTTACGAAACCCACGTTGAGTCCATCTCCAAAATATGCTGAACCAGTTTTGTCATTTCTATTCCTACCACTAAGGCTTTAGTTCAGTTTTTCTTAACTTCTTGGTCTCCTGGCCTCCATGCATACCTATCTCCAAACCATCACCCACACTCCTGCCATTGAGATCATTTCAGTATGTGGCTTAGAATCTTTCAACAGCTCTGTATCCTCTACAGGATAAGGGGTACATTCTCTATTAAGGTATACAAAGTCTTCATGACTTGACCCTTGCCTACTTCTTCAGTCTCCCCTGTCACCATCCTCTCATTTGGGATCTTGAGTTCCTGTGATAGTGAACTATTTATAATTACTTTCACATACTTCTATTCCTGTCTACACTGGTACATGCTATTCCCTCTCCATCTTGAAAGCCCTCCTCCTCTTGTCTGCTTGGGGAACTCTTATCTATCCTTCAAAGCTCAGCTCAATTCTCTCCGATGCTCTGTCCAGGCAGAATTAGTTACTCCCTCTTCCTTGTGCCCATGGTTTGTTTTCCATAGCTCCGTTATTATACCCACTAACTTGTATGATATGGTTTTCATCACTTCTCTATCTTTCCCACTAGAGCCTGGGCTCCATGAAGGCAGACCCTCTGTCTGACTCTTTTCTGCATTTTAGTGCCAATCCCCATGGCCAAATCATTAGAGGAGCTCAGCAAATGTTGAAAATAGGTTTTGAGTCTCTTGTAGTCTCCTTGTCCAAATCCCAATGATTTTGCAAACCTGCTGAGCCCGGGCAGAAAATCCAAGGAACAAGTACTGCTGTGCTCAAGTCTGCCCAGAATGAGCCCGGGCAGGTAAAACATCCATGTTGTGAGAAGGCATGCCAACGTGTCACACTGAAGTAACTGATGGCAAATGAATGAATGCAGTAATCCTGTACAGTCTTATTTTTTCTCCCATGACCCCTGCTATCTATCTCCTTGGATTGCTTGTTACTCTCCCTAAACATTTCCTGAAATATCTTCCTCAGTTTTCTCCTGACTTTTGGTCCCACAGTCCTACAATAGAAGCCGCTGATCACTCAGAAATAGGAACGTTGCTGGCAAAAATAAGTAAGAAGGTAACACATACACAATACCATAGCACCAAACATGTACTTGGAAGGGTCCTTCCAGGAAACAAATCCCATACATCATATAGCCTTCGGATTTCAAGTCTAGGTATTTTGACTTTCCCTCCCAAGGTGATTTCTGGCTATTTTTTCAACATATGATCTGCAGGAACAGCTACGAGCTTATGCCCCAACAAATTGGTCTTTCATTGCAGAACTGTGAGATGTCTCGAGGATCACTACTTTCTTATTAATTTTATTAATAACTTTATTCATCAGTAACAAAATTCTTAAGATTTAGAATAGTTAATTAAATAAGATTAATAGGACTGAATTTCATTTCCCAAAAAACACTTAATTGCAGTGTGATCAACATTACAATTTAAATGAGTCAGGAGGAAGTGAATGAGAACTTGAATGACAGTCACACAACATCATCGAAAAGAAACCTCCTGATGATTGCAACCTGAATATCCTACCAATGAGACTATGATATGTTCTCTAACAAATGAGGAAACCAACTGTTTAGCATGTCTGTATTTCAGCAATGCATTACAAGGTATATCATTCAAAAATATGTCCAATTATTGGCTTGGAAATACCAGATTTGCTATTAACATCTATTTTCACAGGTAGATCTCCATTTTTTTTATATCAATATAACGGTGTAGTTAACAATTACCTTCAAAATGACATGTTATTACCAGGTTCCTGGCAATTTAAAAACTAAAGATGGCTATTCTAAACCATTCTTCTAAGCCTACAATTCTAAAACTCCCCTTTTCTATTAGAAAGCCCAGCACTCCATCAAAGAAGAAGAATGATTAAAGGAAATAAAACATAAGGCAATGTACTTTCTGATTACATCTCAACAATTGATGTCTTGCTTTCATGCGAGGTACTGAAGTGCCTGTGTACTGAAATTACCATTCCTGTTTAAAGCTGAAGCAATCAAAACAAAAATGGGCAAACCCCTTTTGTACTGCCCTGGAAAAATAGATCATTCTGAAGGGTGTTTTTGTTGTTTCAAGAATCTGTTTAACCTTCCATTACATAGAACCGGGGCATACCATCTAGCAACAATGATTTAACACCAATTCTTCTGCAAAATGTTTCTTTGAAAATATTTTGTTTATGTTCCTGGAAATCTTGATCAATTACTGCCGCCTCCCTTCCAGTTTATTCTGCCACACATGCTCCTTTTGAAAACAGAATCAAATGATCCCAGGACAATGCGCATTATTTATATGAAGGCCAACTTTCCACCTAGGGTTGGGTGTCTTGTTTACAGTCAACAAAGAAACCCTACTGAATGGGGCTCACTGTGTGTGTTCTCCCCTAAGTTTCCTTTTCTCCACCAAGAAGCCAAAGTCGGTTGTGTAATAAGCTAAGCATGCTTTTAAACACACTGCTCATACCCTCCTGCTACCTTGCTCAGAACTTCCTTTGAAGCTTATAAATAAGTTTGAAATAAAAATTCCCCTTGGAAGCCAGTGGGTGGTGCTTTATGCTGATTTCAAAGAAGAAACCATTTTTCAGACTTATGAACAACGAGGGACACAATACATATTTCTCTTAGGACCTGACTGAGACGATATAAACACAAACTGGAAGATATGCCAGTGTGATCAATGGAAATTTACTTCCCCTCCCAGTAAAACCATTTGTCGACAAACTACTGGCCTATTTTGGAGTCTACGTTGAAAGAAATTCTTTATCCATTGCAGACAGATGACGATATCCAATTAGTACCCTGGATTGTTTTTTCTAATAATTTTTAACACTCAACTGGGAGGACACACAAGGGTATGTGTTTGATATAAAGATATACTACAACAAATAGCTTACCTCTGTAATAGACGACTCATGTACACGTTTTTATTTCTTATAATTTTAAAGGGCCGATTTCTTTTAAAACATAAGACTATGTACTCTCTGTAATCACTAAGAAGATGTATTTTTGAAGGAATAATATCGAAAAACACAAGTACCTGGTGTTTTTTTTTTTTTTTTTATCTTGGTGAAAGTAGAAACCATCTATATATACCAGGCATAATATTTGGAAGCAATTCTCCACAACCAATGGTTAATTGTCAGGTAAATATAATTGCTGCAACTAACATGACAAATGGTCTGAAAACACTGCCTTCTAGAAAGTACCCGCTGCATAATGATTTTTGGAACCAAAGAAAAACTAAAGAATTGAATGGCAGCAGGCATCCAATCTAATTACAGGTGTCTTTTTAACCAGTGAGAGGAAACTGGGGGAAGATAGATTCTTGTTTCTAATCTGCCATCTGTCTCAGATCAAAAAAGCAGGGTGCCTAAAGAGTTAGGCTTTTTCCAGAAAGAAGCGGAGTGGGGGAATTTGGAAAGACGGTCGCTCTTGCCTTAATCAGTCAGAAAAGACTGTCTGACCTGAGGGGGAAAGAGCATTGCTTTCTAAATTGGCCTTCTCAAGGCTGCTCCTTCACACTTATCATTTCTGCTTCTAAAAACTGCCTTTGTAGGTGGGATTTAGACTTCGAAAACATCCCACGAGAGGTGTTCGTGTCCAAGGTCAGGCTGAAAGGCAGTGGCAGAGCTGGCTTCAGATCCGTTTCCTGGCAAGTGTGACAAGTTCTTGGGTAGAAACACAATGTGCCTACAAATGAGATGATACAATGAACAAATGTTCCTTAAAAACAACAACAAAAAAAACCTATCTAACATAAGGTTTGTGTCTCAGAATAAAATTCTCAGAAAGAGACCGAAAGCACATTTAGTGGGGCTGGGGTGAGCACAAGGGATCCGTTGAGGGTGACAATATTCCAAAACTGTTGTGGTGCTGGGTGCACAACTCCACAATTTACTAACCATCACTGAAGTGTATATTTAAGGTGGGTGAGTCGTATGGTATATCAATTGCACTGCAATAAAGGTGTTAAGAAGGTTCTCAGAACCAACTTGGTACCTGTTACGGAAAACCTGACTACTGGTGAGGCAGGGGTGGAGAGAACACGTCGGTGGAAATCAGGGGGCCCCCAAAGCCAACTTTCTCAATGGCTCCCCTCTGCTCTGAGTTTTTAAGCCTGTGTGAAGCAAATGGTAAGAGGACATGGGACTGGGAGCACACAGCCGGGGGCTGGTTCGATCGAGGTCATTTCCCACTTTGTGCTTAATGTCAATGACAGGCATTTGAAAGAGACAATCCATACAAGCCAATAAAAGTGAGTGGAAAAGAAATGGCTGCTTAAAATGTCAAACTCTTTCAAATCAAAACAAAAAACCTCATAACTTAATAAGTGGCATCTGCCCTTTCGTTTTTGTACTTTTAAAACTATGATTCCCCTTTTGACAACAGAAAAAAGTTGACATTTTATATCTGTGCCTGAATCTTTGCTCTTAAAAAAACCAACAATTTGAAACGGAATTTAGAATATTCCTTGAAAGAGGGGGAGCAGGTATGATGCAGGCACACCGCAATGGACTCATTTACCTTCGGCGTCCCACACTGGGACCATGGTGGGTGGTGTCATTCCACGGTTGAAGCAAACCTGCTTAGTTTTGCCAATCAAAATTTCCCAGCCTGTGTGGCTGCTTGGCTGGCCCGACCCAACTGTGGTGCAAACAAAGTAAGATCATAGGTGTGATTATAAAATGGATCTCTTAGCCTTGGTCAGTTCATGGCCTTACAAGATATCCTGACCTTAGCCAGCTGTTTTACGAAGGTAAGATGCATACAAGGATGCCTGGCTGGAAAAGCGTTAACTGTCTCAAGACATTCACTTCCCCACTCCTGAAGAAATAACTCAAAGTACGTGTTCCACTGAAGGCTGCTCAAAATCTGCCTCTTTGGATGAAAAGGAATATGATTTCACAGGGCAAGCTTACCAGCAGATGTTCAAATGAAAGCTGGATGGGAGCACCAATGACCGACCTCCCAGTAGGATGCAAAACGAGGTGAAGGAACTTGGACGAAGCATTTTTAACCAGGGTAAGAGAGGTCAGTTTATCTGAGAGACACACGGGCTCCAGGGCCACCTGTGGTCCCTTCTCCTGATTTAGGTAACATTTAAATTACACACACTAGGAGAAAGTGACAGCAGGAAGAATAGTTCAAAGAAGCAAAGATGGAAGATGACCATGTCCTGGTTCTCTGCCTTTTCCCGAGTTCAGGATGTAGGAGACCTAAAACTAAGTGAAGTCAAGGACTGCTCTCTTTCCCCAGATTCTTTCACTTCTTCTGTCTTCCTCTACCTCTTCTCCTCTTTACCTATAACTGTCCGTTGACTCAATTCCTAGCTTCTTACTGGAGCTACTGACATGTGGATACGCGACTGTGGTGCAGAGAAGGAGCACACGGCACTAGCCATTGACTAATGGAGAAAGTCACATGATTCTCAGATTCTTGATCTTGTAAATGGGATTAATGCCACACTCCAGGGTTGTTGTACTTAAAGTGGGACAGAATTCAACAAAGCCCTTTGAAACTGTATCATGTGGATGATTCATTGATCCTAAAGTGCACATTTTGCTTCACATTTTTAGCATCTCTGAAAATAAGTATGTATCTTGCAATCAATGCATGTCATAGTTTAATTGGCAGCACTTTCCATAAAATAACAGTGTAATTGATGGAATCTTAGATTGTATAAAACACGGCAATTGTTATTCCACTTTTGAAAAGTTGGTTACAACGTCAGATACACTGGTTAATTACTTGTGATACAGCAATAATGATAGATGATTCTTAAAACCCAGTTTCATAGAAATTTGTGAGGAAGAGGTCTCACTATGGTAGCACTAATTTGAAACCAGATTGTTGTGTCTGAAAAGAAATATACTAACATGGCCATCTCTAGGTGGTGGACTTACACCACCTTAATTTTACACTTAATTTTTTTCTTGCACTTTTCCAAGGTTTCTGCATCAAATAGGTGTTACATACATGTAATACATATACATAGCGTTATGTGTGTATGTGTATAGAGTATTAAAAAAAAGTATTAAAAACATTTTAAAAATATTTTTTAACGTTTTATTTATTTTTGAGACAGTGAGAGACAGAGCATGAACAGGGGAGGGTCAGAGAGAGGGAGACACAGAATCTGAAAACAGGCTCCAGGCTCTGAGCTGTCAGCACAGAGCCCGACGCGGGGCTCGAACTCACGGACCGAGAGATCATGACCTGAGCTGAAGTCGGCCGCTTAACCGACTGAGCCACCCAGGCGCCCCAGTATTAAAAAACATTTTAAAAGCTTCTTAAGTGCATAGAAATAGGCACTCTTGATCACGAAATGACAATTATTCTTGAGGGAAACCTGGCAATGTGTATGAAAAGCCTTAAAAACATGTACGTCTCTCCCTTTGCATGAGATACCTAAACTAGGCAAATTCACAGAGACAGAAAGTAGAATAGGGGGCTCAGGGAGGAGAAATAAGGAGTTGCTGTTTAATGGGTACAGATTTTCTCTTTGGGATGATGGAAACATTCTGGAAATGGACAATGGTGATGGTTGCACAACACTGTGAATGTACTTACTGCCACTGAATTGCACACTTACAGATGGTCAAAAGGTCAACTTCATTACGCATCTTTTACCACAATTAAAAAAAATTTTTTTAATGTTTATTTTTTTTGAGAGAGAGAGAGAGAGAGACAGAGTGCAAGCAGAGGAGGGGCAGAGAGAGAGAGGGAGACACAGAATCCGAAGCAGGCTCCAGGCTCTGACCTGTTAGCACAGAGCCCGATGCAGGGCTCGAACCCACGGACCATGAGATCATGACATGAGCTGAAGTCGGACACTTAACCGACTGAGCCACTCAGGTGCCCCGCTTTTACCACAATTTTCAAAAGTTCCATTGAATGACTGGAAACATCTATTAAACCATTCTCCTAGTATTGGACATTTAGGTCTTCCCCAAATTTGGAGCAATTAAAAATAAGACTGTGATTTTAAAATTGTATATCCTTTGAAAATAAAAAACTGCTTACCACTTTGAGGATTCAAAATATGATGCTTATTCAATGACCAGCCTCCTAGGTTAGAAGCATCCATCTCAAAACCTTGTAAGATAACTGTCCTTTTCTCCCAGAGAATAAAGTCAGGACATGTTTCGTATTCGTATCCCACAGATACTGCAAACAAAAAGTTAATAACACGTTAGAAAATTTAAAAACATTTGCTTTGTTTTTACACAGGTTGATAATTCTGTGGATGTTGCATTTGCTATTGAATTCTGACTGGGGCTGAAATGCACAAATGCCTTTCAGCTAGCACAGTACAGCAGAACGTCTAGCATGGCATGGGGCGTCCAAAAGCGATCAGTCAGTGCCTACCAGATACATACATGGATGAGTGAGTGAATGCATGCTGTCATTAGGTGTGTACTATATGTTTATGGACATTAAGCATTGGGCTTTTGGGTTGGAGGCCGTGTTGTAAAACTGAGGAAATAAGCTCTCTGAAGGCTTAAGCTCTGCTGATACAATTTCTTTCTTTACCTTTCCAGGAAGGGTGCAGGGAGGACTGCTTTCTTATCTCTCCAGAGTGCAAAATGCACTTAGGAAGCTGGTTTTCGAGTACTGGGTCACTTCTGCAACAACTGACGACACATGAGACTAATAAAATCGATTTGCCCCATTTATATTTTCTTTTGTGCAAACTGGCCTTTAGTTTGCCGAGAAGTCTTGAGTTTGCTTTGAGCGCTGCAAGTGTAAATTCCACCTTGTGCACATTATATTTTGGTTTCTGCATAGAGCTAACCAATGGGATATCACCCAACATTTGGCTTCAACTCTTAGGAAGCACAGATGTTGCGCATTAAACTTGGAACCCTGGAATGCCACTAAAACGGGAAGTGAGAAATGTGGTAGCAAGGATGCCTCCGCTCTGCTGCAATATGTCTAGCTCAAGTATACCAAATCCCAGCCATTTTCGCAGCTGGTAACCCTGCTTACCTGTTGCAACCCCAGGTTTCTGATTCTTGAATTTAAAATGCTTTCTGTTCTTATAATGTTCTAAGCCTGAGAGTACTGGCTCATTACACTGCATACCCCGAAGCTGCTTCCCCCTTTCTGGCAGCTTAAAATATCCCTAAGCTACTAGTCGACCATTGCTTTCCAGTTTCTCTCTCTACCTGACTCTTTAGATGCCCCTGGAGAACTCATTCCTTCTTTTGTCATTTAGTTATGAAAACTGGTAATGAAAGCATGTGCTTAAACAATGCCAGAACCATAGGTCCTAAGATGAAGAACGAAAGCAAACTAGTTTTGGTTTTTGGAATTGGGTGAAGGGAAAAAATGGTAATTTTTGGTCAAACTGATTTATGTGTGTGTGTGTGTGTGTGTGCATGTGTGCGTGCGCACGCGTGTGTGTGTATGTGAGCATAACACATAAGCCAAAAAACCCTTATGATTATGAATATACAACTCTGTAACATTGTGGATCATCTGTGGCCAATTTTAAATCGTAGGCTGGTTTCTTTTTGTCCTTTTTGCCTTAATAGGGATCTTAAAGGGCCATCTTCAGAGGGTATGTGACCTATGCAGTCACACAGGGGCCCATGCTTTGAAGGGTCTCACACTTTGTTTCATGCTCTGCTGTCACTGTCTTGAAATCCTTAGTAATTTTTTAATACGAGCCTCTGTATTTTCATTTAACAATGGGCCCTGTAAATTATGTAGCTGGTCCTGATAGGGATGCTCATCCACCAGCTGGTGAAGACTCACGGACTGCAAACTCATTTTATCGTTTGCCCTAACCAAGCATTATTAACAAGGCAGATCAATGGGGGGTGGGAAAGACTAATCATAAAACGGAAATAATTTCTAAATGGAAATTAGTTTGGTATCATCCTGGGTCAATGCTGCTCCCTATGAAGGTGGATGGAAATAGAATTTCAGTGATGAAAAGACCTCAAAGGCACTCTAGTTCAGGTTATAGTCATGGCACAAATCACTGCTCTCTACAATCTCCTCGATATCCTGTCATGGCCCCCAGAGCTTGCTAAAACAACTGTGGTAGAGTAGAAAGAGTTGGTTATGGAACTAGAGTCAGAAAAACTTTCAACTTTTGGGTCCATCATTAACTAGCTGTTCGGTCTCAGGCAAGTTACTCTGCATCTCTGAGAGTCATTTTCTTCACTGGTCAAAGTCAGGTGGAGGAGGATGGACTAGAACTGATGATTTTTTAGAACCTTTTGGGTCAGGGGGACTTTTATTATGAATTTGATAAAAGTTAAGAATCTTCTTCCTAGAAATATTCAGGTGCACACACAATTTTGTATATAATTCTAAGGCTTCACTGACCTCCTAAAATTGAAACAGAGATCTCACCTCAAAGACTTTTGCATCAGATAATTCTTATAGTGTCCCTGGAGCACTAACACTGTATGATTCCAAAGTGCATTCTTTCAAGATTGTGTTTGATCTGTTCAAGTTGGAGATTGCACCCAAAAGCCAAAGACAGCCCCGTATCTCATGATGGCAAAATCAGGTGGTGAGAAAGCACGCTTAGGGCCATGTTGGTGTGCGGAATAACACGGGTTCTGCTTCTCTTGCCAACATTTAAAAGTCTCAATTAATAAATAATCACAGTGACAATTACAAGTTCCCTGAAAGCCATCATCTTCTTCCCTACCATTGTCAGGATCTGCCTTTTGTACACTGTAGGGTTGGTGAGCTCCCCTAGAATCCCTTCTCCAGAAGGTGATGATGCAGTTTGGCAAATAAGTAGCGTGCCCTGGTGACCTCCAATGGTGGTTTGCAGCCGGATTTTTCCCTCTCAGTGACAGTTAGAGATCCTCCTAACTCTGTGGCAGGAAATGCTTACATAAAGTATCAATTAAAGAGTTCTCAATGCAATGGTAATGAGACAGACTCTTTTTACCTCCTATCTGCTCTCCGAATTGCTCTCTAGTCCACAACAAAAAAGTGCATTGGCTGCAAACCCCGCAACGATATTACTTTCTCCCCTAGTCATAGCAAATAGCAACAAGGCAGCTACTTAATAAGTTCTCTCTAATTTTTATTAGATTTCCTTTCTTGGGAGAAAGCTCTATGAGCTAATAAAGTTATAATTTATACTTACGACTTGTCCAAAATTTCAACTAACTTTAATGAGATTGGCTGTGTGTTGGGGTATTTTTATACGTGGCTCCTTGCTCAGACTAACAAAGCAAGGTTTCCTTCTGACAGCAGCCCCCTTTAACATAATCCTGGAACTTGCAACCGGTTTATGAGAATGCAGACATTCCACCCCACAGAGTCGAGTGACTCTCTAAACGCACGGGAAACTGGGAAATACAGTAGCAACCAGTCCTAGACTCCTCCCATGGAGGCAGACTGTGATACGCTAAATGCCTACTCTTTTTTATGGGATCAAATATAGGGGAAGAGAGGCTACTCAGGGACCGGCAATGGAAATGCTGAGCCCCGACATTACACTCTACCTGGTACTGTAACAGCTGGGTCTCAGCTCTAAGCAGAATGGACCACTGCCATTTCCCAGGGTGGCCTATTGCCTATCACATCTGATCATCAACACAGCAGGGTACAGACCACCGATTTAGCATCTGGCACTCTGGAGCGGGGATTAGGAAGAACAGTGTAATAGAAAGGGCAAAATAATTATTCATCAATATTTCAGAGGAGCAGCAGAAGGCACACTGGTCTGCCAGTGAGCCGAGATAGGTGGAGAAGGGGGGCGCCTGGACCATACTTTCCAGGAGCTGCTAGAGTGGGCCCATGCTGGTATGTATGTATTGGGACGGCAGGTGAGGAAAGAGCCATTAATATAGCAGAATACTTTCTCTGAATGATGTGACCGCCTCCCTTGTGACACCCTTAATTCTGTCCGGGTTTCTGTCTTTCTGTGTTCTGTCCCTCACCTCCACACAGAGATATTAATGGGATGTTTCTTAACCAAGAGTCATCGGTTGTCAAGATGGGACTGCTACTTTTGCAGCGGGCTCTGTCCTCTGGTCACAGGATTGCACCTTTGACTGCACTGTTTGTCATCTTGCAAATATTAACACTGGCTGATAAAGAAAACTTTATTATACTGGTGTCTAAAGAACGATTGCAGCTTGCCACAAAGCCATTAGACATTGGAAAAAAGAACTGAAAGCTCATTCTACTTCTCCAAGCAGTAGCATATGCATGATGTGGGGACTGCAAGAGGGCTAAGGGCCCCCGTGCCCCTGACACCCAATTCAGTGACTGCGACATTTATCTACAAGGGCTGGGACGGGAGATTGACATTAAATAGGCAAGGCAAAAATGCTATGCAATGAAACTGATGTACAAAATATGACAAGATTAAGCAGATGATTTTCAACAGCTTCACAAATCATAATGGCTGCATTTATAAAGGCGACACATAATTAAAAGTAGTCTGATAGTGGGAGAAACTCACATGTTCCCTCACAACCTCAGGAAACATCCTATGCAGAATTTCATGACATTTAAAAGGTAACTAATGGCAAGATAAAAACTTCCTTATCCAAAAGGAATCATTAACTACAACAATAAATATCTCCCATTCTTTTAAAATGGTAGATTAATGCAAGACAACAACAAAAACAACAAAGGACAAGAGACCTAAGGAACCAAATGAAAGCCACGGCAACAATAGACCAAGACTATACAGATACAGTGCTATCTATTGAGAACACGTATGTGTTCTTAGAACTTCTACCTTTTCCTATCCTCTAGTGATTTATCATATGATAAGATGACCCCAGAAGCTCCTCAGTTTGACACATTGCCCAGTGGCCTGAAATGCTTTGTTGATCTATCTATTTTTCCTGGCTCACTAGGAGTGTCAGAATCAGGTGATAAATTTTTATCAACTGCTTTTTCAGCACTTATGGAAATATTCACATAGTTTTCTCTTGTAATCTATTAAGGCGGTGAATTATTGCAATAGACTTCCTACTGTTGAACCTTCTCTGTGGTCCTAAAAGAAACTCTATTTGGTTATAATGTATTATTTTTAATGAATCACTGGATTTGCTTGGGTAATACTTAGGATCAGTATACCCTAGCAGTTTATAAAAAAATAGGGTTTAGACATGATAGTGTTAAAAGTGAGGTAGTTGAATACACAAAAATAAACTCAAAATGGATGAAAGACC